TCTGGGTCCATGAAAACAAAGGGCCTCCGACTTATTTAGGGCTTCCTCCAGGCCCACCCGACGTATTCTTCTGACAAGTTGAGCTACAACAGCTGTGGCCAAAATTAAAGTCTCCCTGTAGCGTTTCCCGCGCGCTGTCACCAATGTGTCATCGGCGTAGCACAATACGTCGACATTCGGGAGATTATCCCCTCGCAGTGCCCAGCCGTATCCGATGTTCCACAGGAGCCGATCGAGGACCGATCCCTGTGGAACACCACACGACATTTGCCGTTATCGGCAAAAATACCTACCTCAAATACCTAGCGTCCCTGATATGACACAAAGCGGTCCGCGAGATAGTCTGCTATAGTCGTGTTGTGGTACTTTATTGCCTCTAATATACAGTTCCAGGGGCATGGTGTTGAAGGCGTTGGCGATGTCGAGAGACACCGCCAAAACCACATCTCCCTGGGACACTGCCTTCTCGGCCAGACGCTTAAGTCGGAGGATCACATCTATAGTCGATCTACCTTCGCGGAAGCCAAACTGGTTATCGGCTAGGTCTGGACCCACCCTTCGCATCTGTCCGATGAGGCGGTTTGCGATTATGCGCTCAAAGAGCTTGCCCACCTCATCGAGCAGCACTATAGGGCGATATGCGGAGGGTGAGTCCGCCGGATGTCCCTCTTTACGCAAAAGCACGAGCCTACCAGTTTTCCAGCGTTTTGGAAACCGCCCTTGCTCTAGGCATGCGTCTAAAAAGCGCCTTAGTCTGGGCTCCAGAGCTTTCAGGGCCAAAACCCAGGCACGGCCAGGTATGCCGTCCGGTCCCTTGTTTACTTATACCTACTTCAACACAAAAACTATAAAAACAAATAAAATAAAAAAGAAATATATTTAGCGGTTGGTCATTTGGACAAGTTTTAGAGCTCAACTAACGTTGCCGGCATAAAGTTGAAAGCAAACCACGCCGTACAACATTACACAATTGTAAATAAAAAAGAACTTATTAGGGACTTGTTTCAAAAGTTATACCAACATAGAAAGTCCGTAGGAACTAGAAGCACAATAGAAATTCATGAACCATACTGCAAACACTTGAAAACGTCCAAAAAACAATTACGCTGAGATAAAATTAGCTTATTATAAATTTGCAAAATAAAAACATTCTTTGTTCACAAATTATGACGAGAAAAGAAACTAAAATCTTACTAAAGTGAGTATATAAAGATTATATTGTGTAGTTTAAAAACAAAAATGTATATATGTATGTATGTAAATAAAAATTTGGCCAAAAGCTCGTATCTTTTCATTATAAAGGCACCATCGTAATATAACATTTTAGTATTTCTCGGCGAAACTTGTATCGAATTTCATGGAACTTACAGAAAATAAAACTTCGCTAATTTCCGTGGTTGGAAACTATTTTTATGCAAAAGTTGAAAAATTTACCCAAGTTATGTTAACAGTCAATGTGAAAGCAATTTATTGCCCATTATTTCTCGAGTTGTTAATTCACACGTACTTACATAAATCCAGTGGCGGATTTGCAGTCTTGGCCGGCCTAGGCCCCAGGCCATGTAGTCAGTACCAGCATCCGTTCAGTAGTTTTTGAGTTTACCGCGATCAGACACATTACATTATAGAATTGTAACTTATCTATATTTCATACATAAAATGTACGAAAGTGATTTAGGAAGCTTATTGTTATACGATGCGGTGCAGTGCGGCCCGCCTAAAACTTGACCTATTCATTTGTACTAAATACCATGATTTAACTTAGGTATATTTATATGTTCCAATAACTACTACAATACACTATACTTTAACTCTCTGACTTTACCTAACAAATCATGAATATTGATGACCGCACTTAATTCAGTCTGATATTTATATTCCATCGAGCAATGCATAGATTATACCGGACATAACTATGGGTAATTTATTTTGACATAATAAATAATTATCCAATTATAGTGGCATTTAGTACGGTCTAGTGTTAGGGCATTTAGGTATGTTAGCTTTTAACTGTAATGAGTTTCTCGCTGATAGTCAACTCAGTGGTTACCGTAATTAATTAACCCAAATTATAATTATAAATATGATTATCAAATTTCACACGTACAGATGCTATTAATATTTGAAATAAGATAATTTATAAAGAACCCGGTAAATTATCTTAATTATCTTATAATAAATGTTAAAATAAAAACCCGAGTACGGGGAAAAATTAAATAAGAACGAAACTTCATGAGAAACATTTTTGTCGTAATTAGGTTTAAATTTTTAACTATTATTTTTTTTTACCTTGAAACACATGCTTAGTAATATATTCGAGTATATGGTTTGATGGTGATGAATATATAGTGTTATTTATATTGATTATAAGAGTCTAGCGTCCTATGTATTTATTCAATATATTTTTGTAAAAGAAGCGAAATAATACAAAGTAAGACCAAAGACTAATTTCTTACAAATAGTACTTTTACTTCATATTTTGATGCTACAATATATTTAACATTTTAGAAATGGTATTCTAGAGTTTATAAAGCTCTTTTAATTGATACTTGGCTTGAAAGTTCTTGATTACTTTAGTTTTTTAGACCTTAACTTTATGACGTACCACAGATACCATATTCCATTTTTATAAAATATATCTAGGCTGTAGGATAAAACCGTGTAGGACAATCGACACTAATCCAACGACATCTCGTACGTTAAAATAAGTGAAGTGATATAATTTAGGTACTGTGAGGTACGTGTATACGTTACTATACAATAATATATACCCTCCTTTTGGCTTCTCCGTACCGGGTAAAACTTGCGCGCTACGCGTATGATATAGTCATAAAAGTAATACAAAAACAATCTTAAGCTAGATTATAGAGCAAAGTAAGTAGTATGTCATTTGAATAGGTGTATGAACATAAAGCATACGCACGTATGTTATTTATAGTACGTCATAACTATAACAAAGCCACCAACATTACATTTAAATTTATCGTCTACATAGTTCTTGTTTGAAATACATATCACTCGTAGCAAGTCTTTTAGGGATAACTTTAATTAAATTTTTTGAACGCGACCAAATAATTTAAAATTGGAATTGTACTCATCTACTTTTAGTTGTTGGAAAAACTTTCAAAGTATTGTACTTACGCGAAATTAATATTCTAAGAGATTACTAGATGAATTAAAAATTTCAACAAATTAGTTAATATATTTGTAGACAACTGGAAATCATGGATCTAAAACATATTTTGCTTATAGAGTGGTACCGAGAGTGGGAGCATATTAACCATTCAATATGGGTAAGTTTCAAATTTTGTTAGAGTCCATTTCCTAGTCTTGAAAAGTATTGAAAAACTGCATTTATTTCATGACCTCACCGCCATCTGATGAAAAATGTTGAAACTAGTCTCTGTAAGTTGACTTGTTACGCTACTTTCTATACGCTGCATGCAGTTCACCGACAGACCATGAAAGCTTATCGTCGATGATATAGATGGCGCTAGCTGTTTATAATTTTACATAATTTTAACAATGAATCTTCAGCTGTTCTCATTGACTAACAAAGTAACGAATGATACTAAGTTATTGTATTTACCTACGATACTCACATGAATGAAAGAATCGTAATTGTATTGTTGCGATATTTTTATACATAAAGTTACAAATATCGACTTCTCTACATTTCCAAAATAAAGCTGTTCAAATTTTGTTAGTTTGTTAATTACTGTTTGAGCTTGATATAACATAAAACATTGTATACTGTGCGTTGAGCTGAAGTAAAGAAAATTGTGAAGGAACTGGGCCTCAGCTGTGCTGTTTGTCGCAAAAAATGACAAATGGATACAGGATTGTTGCGTATAGCGCACGATTATATTATGTGTAACGGTCTTTCATTCGATGCTCTTCGTAGTACCTATTTATTTTAACATAATATATTTAGGCAGATATACGTCTTGGTTTGTCTGACTAGATGAATGACTTGTATAACCATTAACTATCCTTGTACTTATATATAGGTATTTTGAGCGAATGTTATAGTAGACGTGATCGTAAGTTTAAATACCTTTACAATCTGTAGCCGAATCCGGGATTACAATATGCCTATCTGAGCGAAAATCTATTGATTCATGGTTGATATGGGTGGGATAGCGGTAAACAAGTAAAATATAATACCTATTACATGTTTCAATGTAAAATGTTTATCCATATAATATTAACTATAGGTTTATAATAATATATAGAAAAATAATATATACAATTGTATATCGTGTAAACATTCATATTAGTCAAATTGACTAAAAAGTGTTTGTGGTGTAAATTATGATGTGGTGACCAATGCAATCTATACAGATAAAAAAACTGTATCCAGCTTACGGGAATAGAAAGCAGTTGAGAGGTAACAGAAACAGGGTTGGGTTGGTTGGGTGTCGGATGAGACGCCCGCCGGGACACAGAACGGGGGCCCGGGAACGATTCATTGATCCGAATCGCTCTCGGCTACGCGACAGGGACCGGCGGCGTGGGAAGGCCTAAAGCCTACGCAGCCTCTCTTCGTCCCTCTCACTCTATCCTCGTTCAAGATTGAGTTTTATATAGATATAGTATAAAGTATGTTTGTATGTATATATAAGAACAAAGAACCCACAGGGATGAATACTAGGACCTTTGGGAAGGTAAAGCTAAAATATCAATAATTAATAAACCACCCATTTATTTTTAAAAAAATCAAGCATTTATATATTAACATAATGCTATTTGAGTACAAAAAAAAATGCGTATAAAAAGCTAAAAATCAAATCCCGTGCGTAATTTAACAGACAAGAACAGTTATACATACCTCTATACCGCTCTAAAGAACCGAACTAGCTGGATGAGAATTTCTGTCTCTTTTGCACTCGCGGTGGGTCGCATGGAGCGTTCTTTCATCGGCCACGCGCGTCCCATCCGTTGTTGCACTTCGACATCAACCGCTTCAGTGCTAGAGCGCGTTCCTCCGCGCTAAACCACATAACCTAAAAGAAGTCAAACAACCTGATTATTTTAGTATTATTCATTGTAATTATCATTAAAATACTCATGACTACCTCGAATTTATAAAGTTAGTGTTGTGAAAGTTAACGCCCTGCCCAAGGGCGTGCGTGGAGTGTATTTTTGTGCAATACAAAGTAAATACAAACGGCAAGCTGTGGGGATCGGGGGCCTTTTTTTTGCCGCCGCAGGGGATGTACTATCCTGTGAGTATATCTTTGAGTTATCTACAATGAATTGAAAGGTCATGAATTCACCCGGAGTCGCGGACGTAAGCAGATAGATAACCCTCGGTAACATGAGCACAATATTATGGCGCATGGCGTTGTTGCTGGTTACTCGGTTATTCGTTAGATAACACAATACAGTCTATAAAAATATCCAACAGTTTCACGTTGAGCCAACTAAACTGCGAACAACAAAGTACTTGTTATACAAATGTAGCTACACAATGTTGAGGTTGCCTGGGTTACTTCCAGTAGATATTGACTCGTATACTCATACCGTCACACTCAAATCTTGCATGTACACACATATTTAATGTATTTTTCTTTTTTTCTCTAAGAATTCTCAGTGTTTTCTACAACTTTTACACAAATATTCGGTATTATTACCATCGTTTATGCGTTATTTTTAAGAGAAGCATCGTGACTATCATGATATGCAAGCAGAAAGATCGTTATATTTTTATCCTTGTCTGTAACATGGCACGCTACGTAAGTAAGAAAGAGATACTTTTTATTTTTTGTTTCCTTCTAGATTATATTTTTATAGACGAAAGCTTTTACAATAATATTATTTGCCTAGAAGTTTGTATAACTCTATTATTCACTATGTACCCACCTAAAGTTGCCAAAAGCTAATAAAAATTAACTTGCTGCAAATTCACATTATGGAGTATCATTCTGATCACTGACATATTATTATTGTGAATATTAATATGGTTCCTATGTATCTATAGATCTACTTACTTTACGGCATTCATTGTCTGATGGTTGGGTGACCAAAAATGGTGAATAAACTCTTTAACGATAAACAGTACCTACAATGCCGATAAAATAGCATACTAATAAATGGATACTATGTACTATATGTATAATTATGAAGCCTTGTACATTGTCGAATCAGTGTGAAAACATTAAATGAACAGCTAAAAAGCGAAACAGACGTATTCGAATAAAACTGCAATTCTAAATGATTCTTTCTTCACTAGGGTGATGCGGGCTAGACCGATTGCCCGCCCTCGTTTACCTGTTCTTTTGAAATTTTAATAAAATAATCGGGTGCTCACTCGTTCGGACTCTGTCGCTAAAGCGAACGGACGAACGAAAAGGGAGTCGAGACTGCAGGAACTCGTTCATGGCTTCAAGGTGAACACGCCGACCAGAGATGATAATAAGGACGAATTATTCGCATACCACCCTTTGTTCACATTTCGAGTTCACGATTGTATTTACACCGGCCTTGGACCGACCGACTGCCTACCTGCCGACCAAAATGTGTTACGTTGTAACGCAGGTAGCGGGATAAAGTGCACCTTGTATACTAAATTTTAGTCTATTCGCACAAAAAAATCATAAAACCAATCAAATGTATTTTGGTAGGTATACTTATATAAAATAAAATGTAAGTATACGTATTATTTTATTTTGTATACACAAATACGCTTATTGTGCAATTGAAATGGTAAGCTGCACTGTGTAATATATGTATGATATGTGTTTAATATATGAGACAAGAAAATGACAAAAAATAAAATGGTTGCACATTGATAATATAGTATGACAAAGTAACTACCATCGGCTAACAGTTTATATGCTCCATTACGAAGTTCTTTATCATTGTACTGGCCCCAACTAACGAGATCCCAAATTGTGCCGTGAAATTGTCATATCCGTAATAAAACGTTGAGAAGTTTATCAAGTAATCCACACAAAACGTCAAAACCAAAATCTAATTTATGTAAGTACGTTTTTAATGTGGGTTGTTCCCAAAGGACTTCAAGGGGACATATTACGTTGATGACGTATATGTTTCCGTTTTGGGAAGCGGAAATGAAAGCCCATTTCTTGGAATACAATTAATTATAATATGTTACTGCTTATTATAATGTATTTACAAAATTTCAAAATTCAAAAATATATTTACGCAACATAGGCGCTACGATGTTTTTTTATTATACCAAGTGGCGGGATGAACAAGTCATACGCCTGGTGTTAAGCGACGCGCCTGTCCATAGCAATTGCAGTGCCACACAGAGCTTTAAATCGCAAAGGACTGAGGGGTACTGCCACTGCGCCCGTCGTCCTGAGACATAAATTGGCAGGTCCCAAGTGCCTCCACACTGTTAAAATACGGAATCCGTACGCGTTCAAACAAAGCTAACTTTAAAAAATGAATGATATATTGCAACTGTACTATTCTAACTGTAAACTGTACTATTTTAACTGTATTTACGTTTTTAACTATACCAAGAAATGGACTTTCGTTACCGCTTCCCAAAATGTCAAGTGTCCGTCCCCATTTACCAACGAGAGTACTCGATGCATAACGATCCGATTTTGTCAGTTAAGGTAATAATTAAGATTGATCCGATCACCGGACAGCTCAACATGCACATCCAATGTCGTCAGAATTTCTCTTTTAACAACTGAAAATCGTGAAGTCCTTGAAATATGTTCATTATTATAGAGTAGTATGTAGAACTACTTGTACTACTACATTACATAGTTTAAAATTCTTCCGCTGCCATCACATTGAATTGACACAACGATTTGCAAATGATCGTCTGTTAAAAAAATTTTTAGCACTAAAAATAAATTTTCATAGAAGCAATATAGTTCATTCATTACAGGGTTCGAGTGATAATTATTATTGATAATTAATTGTCGTGGTAAATATATCTTGATATTTGTCTTGATAATTGGAACAACAAAGGACTGCCGCTAGCGATGTCGTGCCACAAATTTTACTATAATGCTCACTGTCGTGCCATGTGTCTAAATCAGTATCAATGAGTATTTCCTTTATTTTTTTCCATCCTCTAAGGATCGTATTCCAGAACTGTACTCAATGCTCAAGTCAGGATTTGAGCAGACTTGATTATGATTTCAAGCACTGTAAATACGACCCTAATGGCAAGGACTTGAGTATGATTTCTAGTGCTTTGGATCATACTCAAGTTCTGACTTGAGTATTGCAGAGAGCACTGAAAATCATACTCAAGTCCTTGCCGTTAGGGTCGTATTTCCAGTGCTTGAAATCATACTCAAGTGTGCTCAAATCCTGACTTGAGCATTGAGTAGAGTTTTGGAATACGACTCTGAGAATATACCAGACGTATTCAAACGTGTCAATCTCAAAAAAATCACAAACCAAAGTGTTTACCCAAAGATTTTTCGTAGTGTTTATTTGTTTTTCTCACTGTTTGTCAATTTTACCCGCCTTCAAAAAAAGAGTTCTCAATTCTACTGCTTTTTTTGTATGTACGCGATAACTCCGGATATTAAAAAATAATTTATGAACCGATTTTGATGATTCTTTTTTGCTGGAAACCTCAGTAATAGTCCCATTTAAATTTGAAGAAAATATTCAGCCATTAAGGGTGGCAAACTAGAAGATGAATCCGGCTTCGCGCACTTTCCGGTAACCGTGAAGTCGGTTACCGGAAAGTGAAATTAAACTTGGCAAAGAGATGTAATTCCACGAACTTTTGAGGTCCGTTTTTTTTTCTTATAAAAAAAGTATTATTAATTCAATACGCAACAGCAATCATGCTAACTGTGAATGTCGTACTTTCTTTTATACAGTACAGTGTATTGTAAAATTACTACTATTATTTGTCACCAACAAGAGCCTGGCTCTTAAATAGAATGATGATAATCAGTCGGTGCGTGTTGAGCGCGCGATCCTTCCTCGCGTTTTGACCGGTCCCCGGTGTGAAAAAAGAATACAACTGTTGCCAAACAAAGCCGAGCAGTAGGTATTTTAAAGGACTATACGGGCGCCGGCCTAGACACGGACGTGTGTGAACGAGTTCATACAAAATATACACAACGATATTTTTTGAGCACCTAACGGAGCACGGCTTGTCCACGTCCCGGGTATGTGTGGGTAGACCTTAATACCACAATTTGCCACTCGTCAAGCTTGTTGAGTTTATTTCTAATTACAGCATAACGTATCTGTATAGATGGGCACATTTTGATTTTCTTATTTATTTGATATATTTTTAAGCGTAACAATGAAGCATGAAGTTAAACAAACATGCTTAATATATTTAATACCATCATTATTTATGGGTAAATAATTTATGGATATTCAATCCATTTTTTTCATACCTTGCCTACTTCTGCCGCCAAGCAGTAATGTGAGCATTACAGCGTTATGGTTTTGAAGGGTGCTTGTGAAATTATAAGCGTGACGGGCGCAATGGCAGTGCCCTTCAAATTTTTTGCGATTTAAGGCTCTGAGTGGCACTGCGACTGTTATGGAGAGGCGTGTCGCTTACACCTAGGCCCACGACTTGTTCGTCTCGTTACTTGCTATCATAAAAAAATGTCAATCGGGTTATATTTGCTTTTTTTTCCAAACAAAACAAACAAAGTTTCGGGCACTAGACATGTCTAGGGACATGGTCCCATGGTTACGGCCGACTCGCACTCAACTCAAGCGAAAATATACGCAATTTAGATCTGAAAAAATAGTTTCATTTCCTATGTTACAATCGCGAAAACGTAAGGTAGCTACCTTATTTAAATATGATATAGACACCAAAATGCATTAGCGAACTGTCTGCTTTAAGATCGTGGTGACACTGAGTTAATCGTCTAGAAACATGATTTTCCTAACAAAAAGCCTTCCATCACTGATTCACTTGTTGGATCCCAACCGCTTTTAATGGCGGGCTCCATTGTTGTACACGCTTCAACCAAGTTACAAATTAATTTAATGTTCTTAACACGGCTGTCCGAGTGAGCATTGTTAGCGACGTACTTATTTCGCCTATCTGAAACATCAACGTGAAAATAAGGATAATAACACAGTTTTGGTATCAGCCACCCGCTATTCATTGAAACCTTGGAAGAAATCCTTTCACCCGTACGTAGTTTAACAGCTACAATAAGTCTTAACAAAAAGCGGAACTCCATTTCTCGCTTTCCCGTGAGAATGGAGCTATGTTCACAATGATGGCAAATATGTTTCC